TCATTTTCTTCGCAGTCAAGTTGCCTCAGATATTATTCATCTCAGCATACGTGATGGCCGCGTTTCAGTTAGCCGAAGTTGAAAAATTTAATAATTATGCCATGCCTTTTTGAATCTTTATGCTGAGCAACTGCTGAGAGAATTGTACGGTAAACTTTACTAGTCTAGTAAATAAATAATTTAGTAAAATAATTGCACGATCAGTCGACCGAACGCCGGGCGCTCGTACCAGAATCAGCAACGAAGGCATTGGCGTCAGCAACTTGATGTTTATCATGGCTATCAGGTCCGGCAGCAGACCGTCCCGAGCACCAACGAAGAACATGCTGAAACAACAAGCAGTTATTTCGGCATTGAAAGCAGAAACGGTCAGTCAACACAACCGGGAGGAGGTGAACAGCACTCCGTTGAGACTTCCGACCGTCGACAGCGCCACGAAGATTGGCATCACCACAGCGAAGCCACCGAGGATGTATTCAGCGAAATCCTTGAAAACACAACATACAACACGAAAAAGGCTTTTACACTGAGTTGCTCAATTTCATACCACAGCCACCGCCGTCGAATCCATCATCTGGTCAGCCGTCAGAACTGCAAAGTAGGCGACGTTTGTTAGCACGTAGATGGCAGTCACAACGGGCAGCGATATGTAGATCGCTTTTGGCAAGTTTCTGAACATCGTGCAATAACGGCAACAGACTAACGCGAACTGCACATAGCGCTGAAGACAAATGCCTACTTAAATGGGTCCTTCAGTTCCTCGGTTACGAAGTTCAGATAGCTCCTAGAAATGACTCAACTTAAATACGTCAAACCAATGACTTACACGCATGACGGTGTAGCAAGCATCACAGGGAAGTAAACAAAAACAAAATAAACTAAGTAAATGCATTTAGTTTGAAAAGGCATAAACTGACTGTTTATAATAATAGATAAAGAATGGAACGGTTAGACGTCTAGCAAAAAATATTACGACTCTTATATTTAATACACGACTAGAGATAGTACAGACAGACAACGCGAAAATAATTTTTGAGGATAAACTGTCCTTTCATTTCAGAACATGCTCAATCCATCTTAAAATAAACAGGAAACGTTTGATCCCAACCGCAAGATTTGGTCGACAAAAACATCATGAGACAGATATAAACAGCATTCTCAGCATCGAGACAACTGCCAACACTGCTATCTCTATGAACAGAGGAATCGGTCTATGAATTTTTATCACCTGAATATATAATATTAAGACTTTTTTGATCACTTACCATCCGGAAAACGAAAATATACCCTGGTAGATGGCGAGGGCAATCCACGCTGCCTTGTCCTTGGAACCAGTGAAGGCGTTTTCGTAGTTCTGGGTATTGCCTTAAAGTAATATATGTCATATTATGGTGACTGGGATGACGATCTATTATGATAATAATGATGAACAACAGCAAATATCACTAGGCCCATTATCAACAAACAACTCGACGCGACTTCGAGAAATGATACAAATGCTTAGTATGCGAAAGAAATCTGCTTATCCTAATGCTTAATTCACATTTACATGACATCAGTAAAACGACCAAGACTTACCAAGACAAAGCCAGACAACGCCAGCAACGATGATGATGACAAGGGCAAAAACCTTGGAAAATGTAAACACATTCTGAGTCACTGTGCCCCATTTAACGCTGTAGCAGTTGATGAAAACCAAAAGACCTAAAAAATAAATATTATAGCCAAAGTCAGATGACAACAGATCAATACTGGAGTAAAATCCAACTTTGTAAACATCAAAACATTCATCAAATAATATACTAACAGTTCTAAGGTGCCTCATGCTGGAATATTAATGGATCATTTACATAACAAAGAATATCTCTGAAATGTGATCAGCACTGACGTTAATTCCTATGATATATCGATACATTTTGGTTCTCACGAATAAAGGCAAAATTATGACACGCTAACAATCGCTTACTCAACTCTCTATAAAAACAAAGTACCTCGATTTATAGAGTTAAAGGATAGATGAAAAACGAACTCGCTTGCTAAGCTATAGTATGCATTCGTACAGCTATGAACGTTGATGATGATCTTTGAAAGGATCGGCTAAAGGGGGCGGGGGAAATTAAAACAACAGGGTTACTAATCTCATGTTTACAACTTAAAGATATTCTGAGCAGAATTTCAACAAAATCACCTAGGCAAACAGCTAGCATGCGCTTCCAAAGAAGCACCATGCATCGTCAGCGAATGAGGATAATGTCTGAAAGAAAATTGTGATTACAGGAAATTATAAAACATTTACACACGATTTAGCAGGTAAAAATACCTCCATTCGACCGTCTCTAAAATTTCACGCTCCATAAAGTGAAATTGTCGCACTGCGACAATGCTCCATGGTATTGCTAATAGGGATTCGACCGCTTAACCAGGTTACACAGCTCTATGGTACTGTAACATCTGGAAGTAAGGTAGCACAACATGCATAAACTTTACAAGCGCTACTAAAACCTTGCTAGTTGTAAAAGAAGAACGACTGTATTCGGTGCTGTATTAAAATAGCCTGCAACATTCATCCACAATACTGTATACAATGAATCGTTTTTTCTTGAATTCGGATGATTATAAAAACAAAAAAATTGTCATTCATTCATACAATGCATAAGATTGATATATACGTTTTATGCACTTCATTCATAGATTCCTTCGGTTTTAACTGTCAAAAAAAACTGTCAAAAGAACAAGCGAAGGCTTAATGATATCATTACGCCTGCTGTAACGGATACTAAATTGCGTAACTTGTGTTGTGCCTCACTGTTATATGCAAATCCTTCCTTTTCCAGAAAAATGATAAACTTCAATGAACTGGAAAGTCTGGTTAATATAAAAATTTCGAAAACAAACAAAATATCCCAACGTACTAGGGTAGCTGCCAAGAATGGCAATTTTCCAATTCGTCGGCAATTAATCTTATTCCGTTGGCATTTCAATTAGTGATACCAGAAGTACTGAAACCCTGTCATTCGTGGTAACTACCTCAGAACATCAATGGTATATTTTGTTATTTTATTTATATATGTTTATCTACCGATATTGGTAGATTTAGTACGCGTGTTCGAAAGCTGCATCGTTCGGCCCAAATCTCAGAGGGGATGTTGTATTTGATGCATTGCACTTGCTCAAATACCACGGAGCTGTAACCTGCTTAATAGTTGCCCCTGGGATT